GTGGTAATTTGTTTACGGCAACAATCGGACACTAATACAGTTTTCAGATTTGTATCTTAAGCCCCAACCTTTTTCCAGAGAGCCACTGTCATCTACCCAGATCCCCAAACAGGTAATCAACCTCCAAGTCTTACACGTCCTAACTCCTTAATCTGTTTCCAACCGAGCCACTTGATTTCTGCCTCTGTCTTTATTCAGGTCTCCTCATCTTTTGCCTAGATTTCTGCCACCTCTCCTCACCAGTCTTCTAGTTCCTAGTCTTATTTTCCTCCAATCCTGCTTTCACAGTGCTGACAGGTCATTAAACCTGGAGTCTTAATGTTACGGCCACATTTATTCCTTCAGTGGTACCTCATACCCTTGGGGGAAAAGAAAAACCCTCAACTCTTTAGCCTGATGAACGAAGTCCTTTGCCATCCACACATCTTTGTGTCCCGGCTTAGATTTTGTCACACCTTCACTCGTACACATCTTTTGAACCTCAGCAGTAACTGTGGTTCCCCAAACATAACGTGCTTTGTCATTCCTTTCCTTCCGCTGCTCTGCTCCTTCTGCTGACTTCCTGTCCTTTGTCTGGCTAGCTTCTCTTTCAAGTGTGAGGAAGGGTTTCTCTGGGAAGACTTGAGCCACAACCCATCCTCGGATAGGAGCCCCCTCCTGTGCTTACCCAAAGCATCACTCACGGCACTGGATTCAAATTGTCCATTTACTTTCCTTCCTCCACTGGACTCTAAGCTCCTGCAGGAGGGGACATCAAGCCATCAGCCACCGCAGCATCCTAGACTGTGCACCCTGAGGGGACTCAGGATGGAGGAAAGCTGGATACTGGCTGTGGATAGTTAAGGCGCACATCAAAGGAATGATTTCAAAAAGCCCAGACTCTTACATCTTCCCATATATAGAAAAGCACTAAATTCATTAACTTAAGACATCTGGTTTTTCTTTAATTAACAGTAATCTTTTGATGTTCCAACGACTTGTTTCTGTTTTTGTTTTGCAAAAACTATATATCCTGGCTCCTCCCTTACCTCTTCGGAGCTGTCTGAGAAGCTGTCTTCCTGGCTTGCGTCCTTAGCAAATCTGCCAAAGAAAGCATAATTCTCAACTTTTAGGTTGTGTTTTTTTTTTCAATTGACACAAGTAAAATTAACTGATATTAATTAACCTTAAAAACGTGTGTGTGTGTGTGTGTGTATACACCTTTCTAGAAGCCATCTTTAGTTTGCACCATTCCTAACCTCTTCAGTTTGTCTGCTTCTCTCCAGACTCCTGCTAGTCTCCCTGATTCATGCCTGCAGGTGGCAAAGACCTCTTATCTGGAATCCCATTTTCCATTTGATTTACACGGGAGATCTGATCTTATCCACTCCCCTAGAGAAACGAAGGACCTGAAGGAAACTCGAAGCTGCTGGCTTTTTCTGTCTTATCTTTTGTCCCTCTTCTAACACTCCTAGGACAGCCTGAACTACTTTCTGCCCCTCAGAAATGCCCTGCTCTCTTTCAATTTGAGGCCTTTCCAATTGTCCTTCCATTTCTTCCCTACTTCCTAGCTTTGCTGACTCCTAAGCCAAGACCTGAAAAAGTGGATGTTACCTTCTTTAGCAACACCTCACCAGTCGGGATTGGCCGTCCTCCCCCTTCCTGTGTATCCTCAGCCACTGCACTTCTTGTCTGGCTTCCCCACGAGACTGCAAGCTCCAGGGTGACAGGAGGTAACCCTCCCACTGCCTAGCTTTGTGCCTGATACTTAGCAAGAATTTAACATGCATTTTGAATGAATGAATAAGTGGTTGAGTGGAAATCTATCAGCACCAAAAAACACCAAAAAACAGCTCAAGTGTTAGTATATTGTCAATCACTGGTAGGTATTTCAAAGCTTTACTGGATGAACTGCTAATATGTGGTATTGCTTTTTGCACCCTCCCACCCCTCCAGGTGCATACCCAGCAATCTAGTCTTATCTATATATTGTGTGTCAAGCTCCTTATCCCGGGAGACTTTAAGGGTTTTAATTCCCAGCATTCCTTAGTATGTTTTGAAGTCTTTGGAGAAAACTCAGAGTAAGTTCATAAAAACTTAACGAGTCAATAGCACTGCTACTCAGCCTCACATTCCTCACTTGTAAATAGAATTGTTGAAATCAGTGTAAGAGTGCTTTTTAAGCAGCAATGCATTGGATAAATGTAAGGTGCCATCATTCAGAGAACTTGAAATAAGTGTAGCTAGTGAATAACTATGAATGCTGCAGAAGACTGTCTCATTGGTGATTTTCACAGTTTGGTCTAGTTACTTTCTTTTCTATTCCAACAGACATCAGTTAAAGATTTTTCTTCGTAGATAGGGGTGTAGAGTCATTAAGCATTTTCATTGCCTTACCATTTTTTAACTGGGCTTGGGGACTAAGACTGACCTGAAATATGGTCAAGATACCATAAGTATAAATTCCCCCAACTTATAGCTTTGCATGTTGAGTTGCCTACTTCTAAAGAATCGGAGGCAGCTTTAACCAACACATAGAGATCTTGCTTAAAATTGGGGTCACTGAAACATCAAAATCGGGATAAAAGAATAAGCCAATGCTATTCTGAAGTCATGGCAGTAATTGTAATTTAAAAAGAAGAAGTATAGTTGCTGTAAACTATTAAATTTAGCACCAAGCTTCCTGGGAGTCAAGATAAAGCCTGAATATGATGTGTTAGTTCTCAAGCTGAACATATATGCATTTGTCAGGAGAAACAAAACTTTTTTCTAGACCTGAACTCAAATAGTAAATCCTGGATCTATTAGAGATATAGAATAATGATGATGAAACAGTTTCATGAACTATGCAAGAAAACATGTAGATGGCAATTTTGTTATCCGAAAAACTGGGTTCTCCTCTTGTTGGGTGTTGAGGCAAAAGACACAACCAAGCCAAAGATCCGGAGAAGGAAGGATTTATTACTTACAACAATTAAGGAGAACACTGGAGATCTTTCCCAAAGCGTTACCTCCAGAACAGCAAAACTGAGCAAGTTTTAACTAAGGGCATATGCATATTCATGAAGGGGATTGGGTGGTGAGCAGAAGAGAGTTCAGCATGGAATTGGGGCAAAGGTTGACAAGAATCCAAGCTTTCGTTGATTGAAGTCAGTCATGAGAGTCAGAAAATGTCAAAGATCATCATCCCTCAGGTTCCAGTTGATCTGGTGGTTGAGGCTTCAGGCTCATCTTCATCCCTGAAACAGAACTGGGAGTCTTCACTACTGATACAGTATCTTTGTTATAGTTACTTCTCTTGCCTGACAATAGTTGTTTGTTTCTGCATTCTTTTGTTCCTTTAAGATTATTAATTACTGAGTCCTGTTCTAGGACAGGTATTGTGGCCAGGCTTAGATCACAAAATGAGTTAGGCCAAAAGTGGCTTCTTTTAGGTCAAGAAAGCCATGTCTGGTTCTTTTCCTCTGGGGACCTCCTATCCTATCTGCTTATAATTTCTTTTATTAAAAAACCCCTTAATTTACACCAAGGACATCAGTACATTATGCTTCTGTGAAGGCATCTCTGCATGGAGCTGAAGTAATGTAATTGTACTTGACAACTTTGATTCAGGACAGAACCAAAAGACCTATCTAATGGTGAGTCACTCTATCACTTTCAACTGTTGTCCCAAGACATTTCAAAATGAAGAAATATTCTGTGGAGTAAAAGGAAAATATACATGTCTGTTTTAAATGGATAAAGGTGACATTTTACCATAAAAAATTAAACACTTGTATCATTTGAAGGCCCATTTTCAGAGGGGAGCCGCAGAACATCTTCAGTCAGGTTCCAACTTTTGCCATTTCAATGTTGATTTCCAAGAGCTTTATTCATGACAGACATTAAGGAATGAGTGGGAGTGGCTAACACTTACATAGCACTTACTGTGCAGGCACAATCCTCAAAATAACCCACGATGTATTATTATTATCTCCACTAGGCATGGAGATATATCTCAGATGTCAATGATGAGGGAAATTAACCTTCCGGTTTTAATTTGTAAATCTCTCAGAAATTGTTAATATAAAATAGCAAATGTTGGTAAGTTCCACTCTTTAAATTATTTCATTCATTGAACAAATAATGTGAGCCCCTTCTAGGTGCTGCGTTAGAAAACAAAGAACAAAAGACCCTGCCCTCCAAAAGTTTATATTTTAATGGGGGAGACAAATGAGCAAGTAAAAACCAAGCAGGGAAATGTTACTGTTACTACAGGGTGATCAGAGAATGCCTTCAAAAACAACTTTTTTAAAGACATGGCAGGAGTGGGGAACAAATAAAACCAGCTCGCCAGAACAACTTTCAGACGGACAGCTTCCGTCTGTTGAGTTATCTCCTGGGTCATCACTATCCCAGCTTGTGTTCTGCACATAGTTGCACGAAGTTCCCGCAACTATACAAATGGCAAGTAGTGCTTTAAAAAGGGCTCCTTTGTTTAGAAATGAAACCCTGCCTACGTCCTGTGCAGCGTTTTTCTTTGGTTGATCTGGAATCTTCCTCGTCTACGCCCCAAAGCGGGTTGGGGCCTTGCCCTCCTCTTGGGCACCTCGCGGCCCTTGGCCTGATGGATGTGCTCCCGCGGTGGTGGCGGGGGGCGGGGAGCTACGGCTGCGACCTTAGAATCGCAAGCCAACGGCGGCGCATCTGGATCGGGAGCTGCTCCGCCTCCCCCGTCCGCCCGAACAAGAGGCGCGCCCC